GTAACCAACTATCCAAGAACCCATCGCTCAACAAATGTGTAGTAGGAGAAAGTCGAGATGGATTGGATTGGACATACACTGAGAAGAACGTTCGAGGACATCACAAACCAGGTCAAGCTCTCAAGTGGAAGCTAAATGGGAAACGACGAATTGGGCGTTCGAGATTGAAATGGAGGAAGTGGTGTGATTAAGAAATGGAAGCTTTTAGGTATTGGTGGAGTCAAATTGTAAAGACTGTGTCGAAGAGATTGAAATGGTGACGTGCTACTGAAGCCTTATGTTCCACTAGGAACCCAAAGAGCCAAATAATAATAAAGTCAGCAAGGCTTACTGACAATCTTGAGGATAATTTCGTCTCTAAGAGTCGGACACCTACCACTAATTGCCTAACTCAAAGACATTCCTGCCAAGCTATTTTGATCCCAGCTAAATACAGAACATTTTAACATCTTCAAGAAGTCGACACCTGAACTGTATATCATAAAGTGAAAAACTGTTCTATACAATCGACTTTTACACTGGGTCAACTGTGGTATGGATGCCTTGTTGGTAAACATTTTGAGAATAGGGAGGAACAATGAAGGTTTGAATTTCAAAGAAACAATGTCACTTGGATTGCCAACAGTCTTTGTTGATGATAACGATGACTATCAAAAACTGTCAAACGTATGTCAAGCAGGACATTTTACTGATTCGTTTCTGTTTCAACAGCTCATTTATATACTGTTTATTCCTAACAGTGTTGCAACATAAGTAAAAAATACTGTTGTCAATTAGATCTCTTCAACCTTTACTCTAACTTCATGATCTGTCAGTCAACGAAGCGAATGATTAGGATTGTGCTACTTAGAATTATGAAAATTATTACTTTTTAAGCGATGATAAATTTATCCAGAGCCACATTATAATCTGGGCAGATATTCAAACAGACGAAATCGCATTATTTTGAAATAATAATACAATGGTTAAACAGAGTTTGAATATGTTCATATTATGGGTATAACGGGGGTGGGAGAGTAACAAAGAAAGGAAGAAGGTCCTAAAAATCTATGCCTAAGGTCAATAATCAAAGATTTCATGAACTGCTTTTGAATACATAGGTTGAGACTAGTCGTAAGAACTCCTATAGCTCCAAGGTGTATTCGAACTCCGTAGGAGGGGTTCGGTAGAATGCGATGCGTTACTTTAAGTACTTTCATTTTTCTCGCTGGATGACTTCTACTATACAGTTGTGGCAAAACAAAGCTTAGTATGGACTGAGCCAGCCAAGTAATTATATGTTTCTCACTATGCTGATTAATTTGTCTAGTTGTCTATCAAGTGCAACTGTTTTCAAAGGAATAATTGAACTCGTAAAACATCAGGAAATAGATAAGCGGTCGTCTTTCTATCATTTGACTTTAAATGGTCAGTCGACTAGAAAATGATATTCAATGACACAGGATTTTATTAAACATATATCTCAGCTAAAATGTAGCTTTCTAATGGGTAGTTACTTTCGAAAACATTTCACCCCAATTTTACTACATTGTCTGTTCATCTAAAATTATGGGGAAAACCTATTTCTTTTTAATATGGGGGGTTGTAAAGATTTAGTAATTTTTCGAGTCTGTATCCATCATGGACTGACATCAGTTAGAAGAAGATTGGAAACCTGGAATCTTACTGATGAGGAGTCCCATACTAGGATGAAACAGCTGTTCAATGCTCCTAGATTCCTACTGTTCCTCCAGTTCATGTCAGTTCATGATGAATACCAACTTGAAAAACCTGCTTCTGTAATTTATCGTCTGAACAGATGTTTCTTGTTCTGGATATCAAACACTTCATTAGATTTCCTTAGTATCATGTAGATGGGAAAGTAAACAAGTGTGTATACCGACTTCCAGACCTGCTTCTTTAGCATATACTTCCATGCAGTCAGTCATCTGTTCACCTAATTAGTATAGCATCAAGAAAGTAAGTCTTGATGTCATGTTTCTTCTCTCAAGTAAAGGATTTATTTCTGTAAAGTTCCTCAACAGTTCACTCTTATTTATGCTGTGATGAGTGAAGATGAATTCAGAAATGTATATTCCAAGCTCCAACCCACTTTCTCGCCAGGAAGACATGTTTACAATATTGTATTGTTCTCGATATTCTGATTATCGATTTTATGATGACTGTTTTTATTATTCTGCTTGGCACAATCTGCATCCTTTGTATGGTTGACTAAAATAAAATATCATATTTGGTTTTTACTGAATACATATGAAACTATGTTTATCGTAGCAAATGCCGAGCAGATATAATTGACGGTGATTACATTGGGAAATGATTGACATAGATCAGCGATTAGGTTGTCCTCAAAGGACCAGTCATTGCAGCTAATCCACTCCTACAAAGAAGGTCGGTGGGTGCTTAAATAGTTCAGCGATAACCTTTCTGACTGCAGTAACAAGCCATACGGGTTCGATTATGAGACAGGACATCAGTCCCGAGGAGATTGTAGACAAGCCTTGTTGACGAGTGCCAACAAGTACGAAACCGACTGCTTCCAACTAAAGAAATCCATCAGCATATAAAACTAGATAACATGAAGTTGGTTATCCTGCAATGACTAATCAGTGGTAACAATACTGCTTTGTTTACATGGTTTGTTATCATATTCACAATGAGAACTTTACTGTTTTAATAATATTTCCCTGCATTTTGTTAACGGATAAAGTTTCAAACAGTTGTATTTCTTCTCTGCTACTGTGTGCTTCATATCACTGTATTCATCAAGACATCCTAGATATGCTGACATTATTAAAATTGACTACGTCTGAAGTCATACAGTCAAACGAAAAAAGATGTAAGTCATATTTCTTTTCAGAGAATAACTTTGTCTCCCATTTTATATGTGTAAATGTATTTCATAAATTTATTTCATCAAGCCTATTTAGAAATGATTTTTCTTTCTTTTTCAAAATGTATAAAACATATCTGTTGATTTATGAGAAAGGAAACTAGACTGACTGAACAAATGTATATCATGGCGTCTTCATAAAATAAAATAATATGACATTAGTTGTAAATCAAGATGGTGTAGTCAAATGAAACAGGAAACTTCAGTCTGAACATTTAAAAAAAAACCAATAGTGAGCTGACGACAATGTTTACACGCTTTAAAAAGCTTTGAAACAAATAGAAAACCGTTAAAACAAAAAACTGACTTAGGGGAAAAGATGAAGAGGTTAGGGCGAAAACCTTTATTTGCCTGAAAGACTTCACTCATCATATGTATACATATATATGTCTGCATACTCATGGTCAACTATTATGCTTATGATCCTATCTGTTCTAGAGGGATATCTAACAAATAGTTTTATTGCTTCATTGTCGTTTCCCAACAATCTGTTGAAGTTATTTTGGAACTTGTAATATCCCGTCACTGATTGGACCGAATTGATCTGTCTCAACTGGCATATAGGCTAATGCGCGGAAGCCTCAAAATTTCTGGTGTTTCAATTTTATATTGATGGTGGATAGGAGCTAGCAGTGGAATCTAGGATGCACGTTTCTTCCTATTTGGTACTAGTCAGCTGGATGTAGCTGCCTTCTAGTGAACGTTGTTAATCCCACCAAAAGTCCAATGCACGACCGATTGTTTCAAACGCCAGAACGGTATCCATTGGGCTAGTAAGCCACGATAGCCACTTCCTGAGTGGCGAGTATAGTTGATAATTGCAATTTCCAATCGTTGATTGCACCTAAGAAGTGGCTATCGTGATCCAGTGACCTAGTGGATAACGCTCTGATGTTTGAAGCAATCCGTACGGGTTTGATTACAAGTGACAATAACATCACTCACTAGAAAGCAGAAACATTCATCTGGCGAGCCCCGAATAAGATGAAATATACCTCCTACATCCCAATACCAACCGAATTTCAAGTTTTTCAGCTTTTAGTAAGATTCTATGGTTGAAGAGTGGCTTGTACCAGAATTTGTAACGCATATCTCGTCCTAACTGAGGCTCTTCAGATGCGAATGTTATTCTAGGTTCCACAGATGAATTTTCAGCAAATGGAATTGTTATTATTATTATCATATTGTATAAACGACAATCTCTCTTCGAAGTTGTCGAAATATTATCGGAATGTTTACGCCTAATTATTACCTCATCACCTTTAAAGGATCAGAAATAATTGTGGATATGCTAAAGATTCTTTTAGATATAAGACAGTTTGTAACTGCTTCTTCTGACTGTCCCTATCCAGTCTACATAATGTTGAGTCAAATGCAGATGATCACCTAATTGGTCAAACATCATACTTTCGTATATCCTCCTGCGAATAGTTAACTTACTTTTTGATGAGTAGATTAAGGGAGTAGTGATGACTGTTTGTCTTTTTTTTTAGCTGCACACAGCCCTTTATATTTTATCACTCCTTTAAAACTTCACTACGATTCTTCTACTCGTCAGGTCCTATTCCTTCAAAATACTAATTAAAATAGTCTTGACCCAAGTATTTTTATATTTTGGGTCAACTTGATAGATTTACAGAAACATTAGGTTAGTTTAGACACTACAGTGACAAAGATTAACTGCAAATATTTTAATATATTCACTTTTCCCTTTTTCAAAGAATTGCTGTAGGCATTATGAAGGTTGAATACGAATTAACAAACCGTTCTTATCTTGTATAAACTAATACGTATGCAAATGGCAACTTTGACCTAAAGCATGACAACAAATAGAGGTAACATATTCTTACCATAAGTACTGAAAGTGAATAAATTTCAGTTCATTTATAGATAAGAGATAATTTAATACAGTCGCAAAAATATTTAAAGTTCACGATCAAATCCGAAGACTAATCCTTACCAATTAGACCATATGGAACAAAATTTATAAAATAAATTTCACTATAATTAACATATATATTTATTTTTCTCTCTTATGATTGGTTAATTTTATTCATCCAATAAAAAATCAGTAAGAAAATTATTGCACAATAACTTTTATCAGTATGATATCAATTTAGCATAAAAATGTTAAATGTTAACCTGAAAATACAGTTACATTATATTTGTTAACCAAGAGAAGAATAATCAGTGAATTCATTAAAAATTATACCACCATAAAATTTTTTAATCGAATTCTGTTAACACATATTTTTCTATACAATACATTATAATAGGCATCACAAACAATCTGACTATTCATAAAGGATACATTGTTTTGATTACTTACCACTGGCTTGATACATGAAGTATGTTTACAAATAAATCAAAAGTACACTTCATAATAATATGGTTCCTTTATTCATTAATTAAAAATGGATTGTGCAGCACAGTAAGTTGGTAAATGAAAAAAAAAAATATTTTTCATTAATATTTTAATGATAATTTCCAGAAGTTACTAGCTGTAATGGTAAAATGTATTTTGCTAGGCTTTTTTTTGTGGACTTAGTATAAAACCATAATCAAAATGAAACATTTTGGTTGAGATGAAAATTATACCGTTCAGTTGGTAGATTGTAAACGAAGAGTATCCAAATCACTAATTTCTTTTCACCTAATTTGTTTAGAAACTCATCTATTAATAAAATCGATATATCAAATTGCTAACCGCAATACTTCATTCGACTGTGCAACAAAGTGATCCACTCTCTTCAGTCGAAACTGAATGACCAGTTGAATAGTGATTCATTCATAAAGAATAATCTAGTTTACAAGTTATTTTTTTTCCCACTGTTTTTTCTTCATCCTGACAGTGCGTTTTTTCCTTTGGGAAACTTGTCAGCTGGATACACCTACATCCAACACCACTTATCTTAAAAATGTTCTCTCTTAAAATTATTCTATTCCGTTGAGTTGTTCAGTGATCAATGGATAGTTCATTGTTGATATAATTTGAAAGTCTTAAACAAGTTACTTATCTCACAATAAAACCCATGGAGAATAGCAAGAAGGTCAATTTAGTGTTATTGCTTGTATTACACCGTCGTTGATTGGACGGATTTGATCAGTCTCTGTTGGCATATGACCTCCTATGCGGATGCCTCGATATTGCCTGTCTTTTAAGTATGTATAGTAATGATGGGCAGTGGCTAGCAGTGGAGTGCAGGATGTGCATTTCGTTCTATTTGGAGCGATCGCTCTCGAGTCCGAGTCCCGGTGGGAACAACATTCATTGGGAGGCAGGTACATCCAGCTGACGAGTCCCAGATAGGACGAAATGCGCATCCTGCATTCCACTGCTAGCTATTGCCTATCATTACTATAGGAAAGTCAATGTTTAAAACTATTTAACCAGGTGTTGAACATAAGAATTTTTTTTCAAAACAAAGGTGATGCTAATTATTCTTCCCTGACTACCTTAAATCTACTCAGTCATCTCAAATTCTTTCATTGCCTAACATAGTTAGATTACCATTTTACTGATGGGAAATTTTAAAATCAATTGAATAACAGAATAAAAGGAAAATAAGAATAACTTTGAAAAAAGATCATATCAAAAGCCGTCTCATAACCTCATAAGCAGAGTTGAACATATTAAACGCCTTTTGTTTTTACAACTAATGTTCCTATAACAACTGGATATTTTGTCAATGAAAGGCTAATATAAGGAAGAAATTATGTAAAACTTTATTTAAATTGGAATTATTTTCACCTGATATAATTGAGATTATTTGTGTTTGTGTCCAGAATGCTAAATATGAATTCACCGGAGGTAACTTTAAAGGTCACCCTAGCAACTGATGAGATAGCCAACGTCACTTTGTGGAAAAGTACTTTTCCAAACGAAATACCGACGTCTGATTAATCATTTCAGCAGTTTCTAAGGTGGTCTTTAAGGTCATTCATTCATAGCATACATTAAATAAAATAGGCACGTTATCCGTATATGTAACCATTCCCATCAGATAATGAAAGTTAACAAAGATATTTCTGGAAGAAAATCTTTTTTCCGTGAATCATTTTCAAAAGCTGTACATCAGAATCACAGTAACAACAACATACATATATATTTAACGTAGGGAAGAAAAAGGTGACGAAAATACCCAACCAACAATAACAACACCAAACACCATCAGCACGAGAAATCTAAACGAAATTGTCTCTTTCACCTACATTCCTAGGCAACATAGTCTCAACTACAGGTGGCACAGGTACAGATGAGGATGTCAAAGACAGCATCGGAAAGACAGCAAGACAGGCCTTCATTAACCTGAAATCAGTGTGGAGATCTACTGCACTACACTTCAACGCAACGCACTTCACTGCACTCACAATTAGGCGTGCATAAGATCCGGATTTTCAACACTAAGTCAAGTCAGTGGTTGAGAGACTCGACAGCGCGTTAACAAAAGCATTTCCAACAAAATGCTGACATACATCACATCAACAGCTGCCACACACACTCACTCGATACCAACACTTAAGATCAAATAGATGGCCAGAATAATAAGAATGAGCAACTAGGAACTCTGGCTGTCTGGCTGTCTGGCCGGCTGGCTGGCTGGCTGGCTGGCTGGCTGGCTGGCTGGCTGGCTGGCTGGCTGGCTGGCTGGCTGGCTGGCTGGCTGGCTGGCTGGCTGGCTGGCTGGCTGGCTGGCTGGCTGGCTGGCTGGCTGGCTGGCTGGCTGGCTGGCTGGCTGGCTGGCTGGCTGGCTGGCTGGCTGGCTGGCTGGCTGGCTGGCTGGCTGGCTGGCTGGCTGGCTGGCTGGCTGGCTGGCTGGCTGGCTGGCTGGCTGGCTGGCTGGCTGGCTGGCTGGCTGGCTGGCTGGCTGGCTGGCTGGCTGGCTGGCTGGCTGGCTGGCTGGCTGGCTGGCTGGCTGGCTGGCTGGCTGGCTGGCTGGCTGGCTGGCTGGCTGGCTGGCTGGCTGGTAACCAACTATCCAAGAACCCATCGCTCAACAAGTGTGTAGTAGGAGAAACTCGAGATGGATTGGATTGGACATACACTGAGAAGAACGTTCGAGGACATCACAAACCAGGTCAAGCTCTCAAGTGGAAGATAAATGGGAAACGACGAATTGGGCGTCCGAGATTGAAATGGAGGAAGTGGTGTGATTAAGAAATGGAAGCTTTTAGGTATTGGTGGAGCCAAATTGAAGACTGTGTAGAATTGATTGGAATGGTGACGTGCTACTGAAGCCTTATGTTCCACTAGGAACCCGAGGGACAAATTATATATATATATATATATATATATATATATATATAAAGCCTGTTCTATCAGAAAGCACCACTGAACACTTTTTTGAATAGTAGTCTAAAGGGCAGTGCTCGATTCTTAAGCATTTGGTTGTCCCTAGTCACTGTGCTCCACGAGAGTCTTTTTCCATAGTCATTTATAAAGTAAAGGCAAACATTTCGAAGCGAGTGAGTAATTCCCACCTAAACACAACAGGAGCTTTCACAGTTCAGCACAGTAAGCTCTATGTTATCAAAAAAGATACATTCAGTCTTTATTTTTTTTCCTTCGTCATATTCTTCCAAATAAAGTTTATTTATTCCCATGTTTATTTACTATAATCCTATAAGCAATCCTTGGTGACCTTGATTTGACCTCTCGGCCATGTTATCACCTTGATACTTTATTGTCCATTTCTGATGACTTTTTATTGACTCATTAGTCATTGGTGGGTAAATATATTTTGTTGTAACTATGATTACGATGTACAACTTTTGAAAATGATTCGTCGAAACGGAAATTCTCTTTTTTTCGATTGTCTTTTATTAATTATATCACTAAGTGAGGAATTATATGGGTGTATGATTGTTTTCTAAAAATGTCTCACTCACATATTGCATACGCTTAGATTTGGCTAAACTTTAATGTATTCAGAAAATCCTTTACCTCCTATTAGCTAATATTACCTTATAGGAAATAAGCAGGAGACTAGAGACGTTATAGTTGTAAAATACTATTTGTCATATCAGATGTTTGGTTTTCATGGTCAACTGTTGAAATAAGTGATGTCCATATCTTCAGTTCACTAGTTCAAAAGGACGAGTGGGAAGCAATAAGATTTGTTCGAAAAAAGCTTATTTGTAAGCTAACGACCTTATATCCTTAAATGAAATCGGAATGTAAGGATTTAACATCTAACTGTAAAATTACTCTAACATTAGTCAACACACGTAAACTAACCGCTTGGTTTGTCTAATAACTTGTTTGCTTCTGTACCGTGCTGAGATTTGTGCATTTTTTCTTATTGTTATTATTTTTTCTCTTGAGTTCCTAGTAGAACATACGGATTCAGTAGCACGCCTCCATTGCATTCTCTTCTCTGCAGTCTTTTCAACCTCACTCCACCACTGCTCAAAACATTTCATTTCTTCTTCACATCATCTCCTCCATGTCAACCTCAACTTAAACACCCAACTCGTCGTTTCCCCCTTTCGATTCCACTCGATGGTCTGGGCTGGCGCATGATGTCCCCAGTCGGTCTTCTCAGTGTATGTCCAATCCAATCCATCTCCACTTTCTTCTACTACATATTTGTCGCGTGATTGGCTGTTGGTTAGTTCGTTCCCACAGTTCCTTGTTGCTTATTCTTATTATTCTGGCCATCTGATCTCATCTTCAAAATCGAGTGAGTGTAGGCGGCAGCTATTGATGTGATGAATGTATATAGTTTATTGGGAATGCTTTCCGTGACACACCGCCAAGTCTTCACACTGGTTTCAAATTAATGAAAGCTTGTCTTGCTTTTCTGATCCAGGTTTTGACATCCCTGTCTGTGCTGCCATCTGTGGTTGAAACGATGGTGCCTTGCCTAGGTAGGTGTAGGGGAAAGAGACCACTTCCTTCAGATTTCTCCCAGTGATGGTGATTGGTACTTGTGATGGTTGTTACTGGCGTTGGTTGGTTATCTTCATCACCTCTGTCTTCTCTACATTCACCTGAAGGAAACCCGTGTTCGCTGCCTCACCTCTTCTCTCAACTTGTTAGCTTCCACCTGTAGACCTTCGAGTTTGTGCGACAAGACATTAGACATAAATCATCATCGGCGGCGGCGAAATGAAAATCTTCTCCGGTCTTTTCATCTGCCCAATCAGCATATGCCCATTTCTGGCTAATCACAGTTGTTTGTTGCATGATCCAGTCAAGTCGACCACAGTTAGGAAAATCATGAGTGATAGTAGACAGCCTTGTCTTACCCCTGTCTTCACTTCAAAGGCGTCTCTGAGCTTTCCAATGTGGATCACTTGGCATGTGACGTCTTATAGTTGTTGACTAAGGTTGATAAAGATTTGTGGCGTTGAAACCGTAGTATTGAAGCAATTGCCAACTTACTTCTCGGTCGACGCTGTCGAAGGCCTTGTCAAAGTCGATGAAAT